GAGGCTGAGGCAGGGGAATCGCCTGGGTCCAGGAGTTGGAGGTTGCTGTGAGCTGTGTGATGCCACAGCACTCTACCTAGGGCAATAGAGTGATATTCTGTCTCTACAAAAAAAAAAAAAAATGCTTTGTAAATGGCAAATAGCACATTGTTAGGCTACAATATTTAATAGGTGGAGGTAATTAATGCAGTCGGAAACAGAGTGCATCTTGCACAGTGCTGTTGTGTGCTATAGACGCCTGTGGTTGTCTGCTGTAGTTGTTCTACAAGGCTGGGGATGTGTTTGTAAGACAGAAGCAGACAGAGAGGTCATAGGGTGGAATTATCCTGGGGCCATCTCCATAAGGCAGGACCATCTAGTGGAGGACTGGTCATTCTTGCCTCTGGTGCAGGGTGATCAGATCCAGCTGGGACTGTTGGGAACCTTGCTAGGGTCTGATCTGCAAGAAGATTGGGGCTGGAAAGAGTGAACACAGCAGGCCAGGATTGAGGGCTGCCTGGGGGCTCGGGAAGCTGGGTGCCACTCAGACCCTGGTCCTTGTGCAACCTCAGGGCCATGTCTAGGTGCCAAGGAAGGAGCAGAGGCAGGGAAAAAAAAACTGAAGAAGCCTTGGCACTGGTAGCTTGGAGGCCTCATGCCACTTGCTTGAGTGCCCAGAGGCCCTGGTGACACCATGAGGGAAGGGACACTTTCCCGGCCTCCAGCCCTGAGGATTCCAGGGACGCCTGGGTCACAGAGCAGCCTGCTGGGCATCTGGAGGTCTCTGTGTGGTACTGTCCTGCAGGGCTAGGAAGGCCTTTGGAGGTGGCTCTGTGCACTGCTGGGGACTGACATCACGAGCCTCTTCTGAGGGTGAGGTGCTGTGTCAGCTTGAGAAGAAACTGATGACTTTGACTACCATCCTAGTTTTACCCAACGGTCTATTGTGGCCAGGGTCACTCTGTACATCCCAATGCAGATCTCTTCAGCTTTGCACTAGACCAGCTGTTCTCAACCTGTGGGTCATGACCTACAGTAACTGTATTAAAGGGCCACGGCATTAGGAAAGTTGAGAACCACTGCACTAGACAATCCTGTGGGGAGCTTCAGAAAGGCCACTGCCTAAGGAGTAGCATAGCCTAGAGGGTTGGGATTTTCATCGATGAAGATCTCAGTTACTCATAGGATACAGTAGATTAGTGCAAGGGTGTTTTATTTATGTTTATAGGATATAAATATTTTCTATGTATTGTTTTATATTTTGCATATGCTTTTAAAAATATACATTGGTGGTTTCTGTGTGCCTTTCTGTGTCTTCCCTCGGTAACGGGTTTCATGGAATGTTGCTGGTATATTGCCCTTTGCAGAACTGAGAGAAACAGAAGTCTGCCTGCCTCGGGAACACAAACAAGGCTAGTACTCTGACCACAAACAAGGCTTTCAAAATAGAGAGTGAATCAATAGGAAACGTCCTACAAGAAGTACTTATCCAACAAACGGCACATAGAAGCTGTTTCTCTGTGTCCCTGAGTCCCAGGCTGTGCACACTCCTCATCTTGCCCGCAGTATCTGGAGTACAGATGTCCTGGTGAGTCCCCCGCCACCCCACATCCTGAAAGTGAGGCTCCTGCCTTAGACGCCTTCTCTGGGTATAGCTGAGGGGGGAATCATTGCATCTTTGCTAATGCCTTCAGCTCTGCACTTGGCTGCTTAGTCAAATAGGAAATATGACAAAATAGGAAACCTACCTAATAGCCTCAGTGGAAAGAAAACTGTGCCTTGGAGCCATACAGCCAGCACTCTTCCTTCCCTTTTCTGGCCAGAGTTTCTGCAACAATCTGCAGCCCCTCTTGTCCCTCTGTTTCAGTGCATTTATTTAACAACCAGTTTGCCAAATACAACCCAGCCCAATTATAGCAGTGTCCCATATGGTTGTAATCAGAGTATTTACATACTTTTGTACTCTGATGTTTTCATTTAACTTTATATCAAAAATTACATTGCCTTACTGCACTTGACTGTTGATAGCATCACAACTCACAATTGCAAATATGTCAACCCAAGTGTCCATCAATACATGAGTGGATTAAGAAAATGTGGTATATGTATACCATGGAGTACTATTCTGCTATAAAAAATGATGAACTGGCTCAGCACCTGTGGCTCAAGCAGCTAAGGCACCAGCCACATACACCTGAGCTGGCGGGTTCAAATCCAGCCCGGGCC